GACGTTGATCACAGCCTGTATCAGGTATCTTTGGAGGTGCTTATCCAGTTTTCTCTTGAACACTGTGAGGGGTCGGCCAGTTATGCCCCTTATGTGTAGTGGAAGCGTGTTGAACAGTCTCGGGCCTCTGATGTTGATAGTGTACTCTCTCAGAGTACAGTACTTGTACTCTCTCAGAGTACAAGTCAGCCACAGGGATGAGAGGAAAACTTAACCACAACTTAAATGATTGGGTGTTAGAAAGGCGGTGCTCAGGAGCAGAAACTTGGCTCTGCGTTTTTAAAGTGCGTTGAGTTCGAATAAGAAATATAACTTCTATAATCAATTACACACAGAAATCACAATAGCGTGATGCATCAAATGAAGATGCATCACGTAGGTTCGAACCCTCGTCACGGCCCTTGTGGATTTGTTCTTCTATAATCAACATTCGTTCTAGCATCAGTACCCTCGCCGTAAAACAAAAATGCACATGGAACGATATCTCAAACTGGCTACTTTAGATATGCGGATATCGTATCATATTTCTCGATAAACAAATTAGTATGACTTGTAGTGCATGAAAGCTTAGCCGTGAAGTGTGCTAGAGGAGAGTTGGGGGGAGGGGGAGATAAGCGTGTCATTAGTGTGTTTAGATAAACATATTGACTGGGAATTTGAGAGTGAGGGAGGGGGAGTGTGTTTTTATGAGCTGATGTTGGAGTGGCGTGAGGGTGTGTGTGTGTGTGTGTGGGGGGGGGGGGGGGTGATACTATCAGTACTGGCTAGTTTCTGTGGGTCCGTGCGCTTCCCACGCTTCTCACCCTATCCACTGCCTCACCACACATCTCCTCTTCCTCGCCACACCCTATCCTCACCCCTCACGCCTCTCCATGTCCCTCACACACGCCCTCACTACACTGCCATATACAAAATACTCCTATGAAAGTTGATTATTATAAAGAACAAAAGATTGTTCGAAAATAATTAACATTTAAAGGAGCCATTCTTTACCCAGGTTTTCTTTTGTGTATTCACCTAGTTGTACTTACGGGGGTTGAGGTCTGCTCTTTCGGCCCGCCTCTCAACTCTCAATCAATCAACTGTTACTAATTAATAACTTTTTTTTTCAACGCGCGCGCGCACGCATCCAGGAAGCAGTCCGTAACAACTATCTCACTCCCAGGTACCTATTTTACTGCTAGGTAACAGGGGCATCAGGGTGAAAAACTCTGCCTGTTTCCGCCGACCCCGGGAATCGAACCCCGGTCGACAGGACTACGTATCCAGCGTGCTGTCCACTTAGCCACCAGCGCCCTAGATAAATGAATAAATGTGTGTGTGTGTGTGTGTGTGTGTGTGTGTGTGTGTGTGTGTGTGTGTGTGTGTGTGTGTTAAACTCATATGGCCTATCATGACAAAATCACAGAAGCATTATACAAAATGCAGATACTGAACGTACATCTTGATAATTGTAATGATGGTGTAATAGCCCCTAACATGAGATTAACAGCAACAATGTGTAAAGTGGGGCGTTGGATTTTAATTTTGTCAAGCAAATTGCAAATAGTAACAGACAATTAAATCAAATAAAGTCCAAGCGTAGTGAATAGCTGTACTGTAAAGTAGTTAAGTCGTCAGAGTTGTTAATAAATGGAATGCATTAGGCAGTGATGTGGTGGAGGCAGACTCCATACACAGTTTCAAATGTAGATATGATAGAGCCCAATAGGCTCAGGAACCTGTGCACCAGTTGATTGACGGTTGAGGCCCAAAGAGCCGAAGCTCAACCCTCGCTAGCACAACTAGGTGAGTACTGTTTATTCTCATATGAGATATAAACAAATATACAAGTCACAGCTTCGAATCATCTCTTGCAAATGATAGAAAAAACAGCTTGAAAATTACCTGTGTAGAAGAAGACAGGAAAATACAAGCCAATAATAATAATGTCTTCGACTGGGTAACGGAAAACAACATGTTCAACACTAATAAGTTCCAGGTACTTAGATATAGCAGAAACGATAAACTTAACGAAATACAGCGTTCAAGGTACAACAAGACTTAATCATAGTAGGAAAACATGTAAGAGACCTGGGAATTATGGTGTCTGACCACCTGACATTTTGTGAACATAACCGAGAAAATATAGCGACAGCCAGGAAAATGATTGGATGGATTATGGGAACGTTCAAATCCAGAGATCCCACAGCTATGTTAATATTATTTAAATCACTGGTACTGTCCCGCCTTCAAAATTCAATAGTGCTCGGTACTCACTTCCCTCTTCAGAGCAGGAAAGATTTCTGAAATTTGCGGGAAAACAGAGAACATACACAGCACGCATACCTGGATCTTACCTGGTCAGTGTCTCGGGAGTTCTTCTACTGCCCGAGCCCGGCCTAAGGCCAGGCTCTACTTGGAATAACTTGGTTCAAGTTGTCACAAGTGGAGCCTCGCCCCAGGCCGGGCTCGGGCAGTAGAGAGGAGGAACCCTTTCTTGGTATGCTCCAGGTATACATAAATGCACATGTATTTATAGATTAATACACACAAATTGGATAAAGCAAGACACCAGCAGTTGTAGCGGGCCACCAGAAAGACGTTGTTAGCAACAACCTAACTCACCAGCTATGATCTACAGTCATGCATAGATCATGCATGCAAATCACCTGGTACGTATGTAGATGAGCCGAGGAAGTGTACTATGTTAGAACATCCCTCCCTTCTCCTTCTCTCCCCCCCCCTCCTCCCTGGAGGGAGTCAAGAGTGTGAGAGTCTTGGGATATAAGCCAGTAGGCCATGGCAAGACTCCATGGGTAACATCCCCCAAAATATATATATTAATTTGGTTTAAAAGTCATTGGTAGGATAGACCGCTGTGATAACCCAGGAGACAACCCCGTAACCCAGCCTGGTGGACCAAGCTCTCACAAGTTAAGCCTGGTCTCGAGCCGGACTTGGGGAGTAGAACAACTCCCAGAACCCCATCAAGCAGGTATCAAGCAGATATGAGCAGGCTGGTATGATATTAGGCTATAGTCCTGTATTCTTTGGCACCCCATCCATTTTCTAACCAGACTCAACGGTGCTTAACCAAGCAACGATCCTGTGTGATGGGGATTTTTAGTATCACGTAGCTGGTTCTTCTCACGCACACACGCACGCACGCACGCACACGCGCACACGCGCGCGCACACACACACACACACACACACACACACACACACACACACACACACACACACACACACACACACACCTACCTTCATATGGTCCAGGGCAGCGACACAATTACAGATGTACCCAAGTGTGCTAACAAACAACAGAACACATCACCCACAGACAGATACTGTGGCTTCTCACCGCGATACTAACGAAGGGAAAGAAAGTCGTCACGCAAAGCCAATCATGCGTGATATTTTTTTCCTACTACTAGTATTTAACTGACGTGTGTTCTTCCTGGGAAACAGAGTTGTCCGAGTGTGACACGAGGGAGGAACAGTAATTAGGAGGAGAAAGCGCTAAGACACTAACTATTTAGCTCTGGAAGGGATCATTTGATGACTATGCCTAACCACTTGGACAAAATCTGGAATCGAACACTAGCCTTGCAAGAAGCCAAGCCTTTGTTCTAACGACCAGTGCAAGTGGATGGACGTGAGGGAGACCGTGTATCAGAGGTAATAGACAGCTTCATGTTGTCTATTACAACATGAATAGACAACATGAGAGCCCGATAGGTTTGGAGAACTTGTACTCCGGGTGATTAATAGATGAACGACGCCACCAAAGTACTCAAGCTCAATCCCACACAAACACAATTAGGTGAATAAACATACGCGCGGGCACACGCACACATACACCTGCAGAAGGTTCAAAGGTATGCCACTAGACTAGTTCCAGAACTAAGAGTCATAAGTTATGAGGAAAGACTTTGCGAATTGCACCTCACGTCGCTGGAGGACAGAAGAGGTCACAGTTTCAAATGTATGTAGATATGATACATATCTGTATCTATGTAGGGAGCCGGTCGGCCGAGCGGACAGCACGCTGGACTTGTGATCCTGTGGTCCTGGGTTCGATCCCAGGCGCCGGCGAGAAACAATGGGCAGAGTTTCTTTCACCCTATGTCCCTGTTACCTAGCAGTAAAATAGGTACCTGGGTGTTAGTCAGCTGTCACGGGCTGCGTCCTGGGGGTGGAGGCCTGGTCGAGGACCGGTCCGCGGGGACACTAAAGCCCCGAAATCATCTCAAGATAACCTCAAGATGTATGTAGATATCATATATACATATCTACATACATAGATACATATCTACATATCTATGTATGTAGATATGATACATATCTATGATATGATACACATATATGATGGAGTTCGAGAAGCTCAGGAACCTGTACACCAGATTGACAGTTGACAGGCGGGACCAAAGGGCCCAAGCTCAACCCCTGCAAGCGCAACTACGTGAGTACACACACACGGCCTCGTGGCTGAGTGGACAGCGCTCGAGGGTCGTAATCCTATGGTCACGCGTTCGATTCCCAGACGAGGCGGAAACAAATGGGCAGTTTCTTTCACGTGGTGACCTTATTGACCTAGTAGTAAATAGGTACCTGGGAGTTAGACAGCTGCTACGGGCTGCTTCCTGGGGATGTGTGCGTGTTAGAGAGAAATGTGTGTAGTAGACAGAGAGGAAAAATATATGTTAGAAAGTCGGGGTCCAAGAGCTAATAACTCGATTTTGCAGGGACAAATAGTAAATTCACAAAATTAATTGGTTTCACACATCTCTATATTATATGTGTTTGTTTCTTCTCCTATCTCTACCTCCCTTCCTTCTCTACCTTCCTCCCTTCCTTCCTCTCTCTCTACCTCCCTCCTTCCTTCCTTCCTCCCTTCCTTCTCTCTCTACCTCCCTCCCTCTCATTGCTTCTGGGAAGTGGAGGGTGGCGCCGCTCCTTGTGTTGACTTGATGAAGACAATATGAAGAATTTAAGGCTTGATAACCTTAATGGATCTTAAGGTGTGGCGCTGAGAGAACCCCACAAGTTGGGACACGTGGCCACGCTGAGGGCGGGAGAGGGCTGCGCTGAGGGCGGGCGGGAGAGGGCTGCGCTGTGGGCGGGAGGGGGAGAGGGCTGCGCTGAGGGCGGGAGAGGGAGAGGGCTGCGCTGAGGGCGGGCGGGAGAGGGAGAGGGCTGCGCTGAGGGCGGGCGGGAGAGGGGGAGGGCTGCGCTGAGGGCGGGCGGGAGAGGGAGAGGGCTGAGGGCGGGCGGGAGAGGGAGGGCTGCGCTGAGGGCGGGCGGGAGGGAGAGGGCTGCGCTGAGGGCGGGCGGGAGGGAGAGGGCTGCGCTGAGGGCGGGCGGGAGGGAGAGGGCTGCGCTGAGGGCGGGCGGGAGGGAGAGGGCTGCGCTGAGGGCGGGCGGGAGGGAGAGGGCTGCGCTGAGGGCGGGCGGGAGGGAGAGGGCTGCGCTGAGGGCGGGCGGGAGGAAGAGGGCTGCGCTGAGGGCGGGCGGGAGGGAGAGGGCTGCGCTGAGGGCGGGCGGGAGAGGGCTGCGCTGAGGGCGGGCGGGAGGGAGAGGGCTGCGCTGAGGGCGGGCGGGAGGGACGTCGGGGACAGACAACAGGAAGTGAACAATTGTTGTGGTCGCGAGCCCCAGCCCTGAGACACGCGCCTCCAGGCGTCCTCCTCGCCCACCACCTGACGAAGGCCCCACGGAGGGGCTGACGAGGACCTCCTGACGAGCGGGCTGACGAGGACCTCCTGATGAGGCCCTGCTGACGAGCGGGCTGACGAGGCCCTGCTGACGAGTGGGCTGACGAGGCCCTGCTGACGAGTGGGCTGACGAGGCCCTGCTGACGAGTGGGCTGACGAGGCCCTGCTGACGAGTGGGCAGACGAGGCCCTGCTGACGAGTGGGCTGACGAGGACCTCCTGACGAGCGGGCTGACGAGGACCTCCTGACGAGCGGGCTGACGAGGAGAGTACCAGCAGCAACCAGCTGATGGTAATAAGTTATCCAAGATGCACCGAGGATGACACTAGAAAGCGATCTCACAAAGGCCTCATCGTAAGCCTATGCCATACGGTATCTCTACCACTAGTCCGACGACCGGGCCGCGGGGTCGCTAAGCCCACGAACTCACCTCAAGGTAACCCCTCAAGGTAAGGGCAGAGTTTCTTTCACCCTATGCCCCTGTTACCTAGCAGTAAAATAGGTACCTGAGAATTAGTCAGCTGTCACGGGCTGCTTCCTGGGGGTGGAGGCCTGGTCGAGGACCGGGCCGCGGGGACACTAAAGCCCCGAAATCAACTCAAGGTAACCCCTCAAGGTAAGGTAACCATTCAACCACTGGATACCTGTACGACGACACGGCTCTCTCGTTACCGGTGTCAGGAACTAAACGACCGATCAGCCAACCAGATCAACTCTGACACTACAATGTTCAGGTTACCTTACCTTGAGATGCTTCCGGGACTTAGCGTCCCCGCGGCCCGGTCGTCGACCAGGCCTCCAGGTCACTAAACTAACATCAACACTCGTAATAGGACCAAAAGGTTTTTTTATTAACCAATTTAGGTTAACCAACTAGAAGGTTATTCAGTTTAATTTTAACAATAAGATGACTGAGTGGGTAAATTAATATAGACTCAAGTGCAAACATCCAATGGGAAACACTTAGTAACAAAACTCACACGCAAGAAATAAAATAATTGACTGCCAAAGCACTCACTTCTCCTTTCAGACCAGGAGATATTTCTGAAAGAGAGGGAATACACAGAACATATATAGCACGCATAGACACGATAAGCCCATGAATTACTGGGGTCGTCTTAAAGCTCTCTTAAGTGTACTCTCTGGAAAGGAGATGATAGGTATCAAATACTATATATGTGGAAGATATTAGAATGTCAGGTCCCAATTTTCATACTGGAGCGTAATAAGATCATACTGGAGCGAACGACATGGTAGGAACTGCAGAATAGAACCAGGGAGGAGTAGATGTGCCATAGACACATCTATGGCACTTTATGAACATCGGAGGTCCACGGATAATCACATTTCAGCATGAAAATTATATTTTCTTACAAGAAAATTACATTTTCTTGCTGCGATGGACCTCCGTGGAGGTTCATTGAAATATTTCAATAAGCATAAGAAATATTGCCGGAACAAAGCTAGACTTCTTCAAGAAACAGTTAAGTTCCTGCAAAAAGTGCCGGATCAACAAGGGAATATGTGGACCTGCGGCCCGCTCCAAGGGAGAGACTGTTGGACCAAGTTATCATAACTCTGTACCCGGGCGAGTTTGTCAACTGCCAGAACTCACTCCAGGTGGACCAGCCAACGGAGACCAATCTTCACTACCTACTACAGTCACTAGCGACTTGCTCACCTCCCTCACCCTGTCTTCCCCCCCCCCCCCCCCCCACGCCTTCCCTCTCTCTCTGT